CCCCCCCCCCCAGCACTCCAGCTGTCACCATATTGTGCCCGTGACAGAGTTTGGAGAGGACTGGTGAGGAGGGAGTGGACAGGTTGAGGGCAGGCAGTTCATGGCTGTGTGCTGGTCTTGGGTGCCAGCCAATGCCTGCTCTCATGCCCTGGTGTGAGCGAAGGGGCCAACGAGGAGCCCTGCACCTGCTTCTCTGAGCTTTCTACCTGAGGAGCTTGCAGCCGATCAGCCAAAGACCCGACTCTCCCTGAAGACTCTGCCCCAGGCCTCCATCTCCCCTTTCTGCAGCTGCCCAGGCTTCGGGGCATGGGGCCCCTCCTGGGCTCACCTGGTCCTTTCCTAGGGTGGACTTTCCCTACCAGTAACCTGTTCAGTTCTCTCCTGTTGTGGGGGTCAGCATGCCCTTAACCCTGTTCTTTACACCTGCAGTGTGTCGCACAGCCACCCCACGTGGGGATCTGGCTCCTCACCCTGGCAGATGGAGCTCTGTGTGCTTTTGTGAAGCCACTCAGCCATCAATGTCACATAAAACAGGGCAGGCAGTAAAGCTCCCAGGGCTTCTGTTTTTGTCACCCACAGCCCTGCAAGATGGAGCAGTTTACACACAGCCTTGCAGGATGTAGCCTCCAGTCCTCATAGGCTCCGGAGGGGAGGGAGGGGCTGCTGGAGGCTTCCTGTCGCTGCCCACAGAGCACAGAGTGTCGGGCGCTTGTGACCTGTGGCTGTGCCCGTTTGTGAAGGGCACAGGTTTGTGCCTGTTGGGACGAGCCTAGGCACATTCAGGAGGAAGAGCAAGAGGCAAGAGAACTGACAGGTACCTTTACATAATTCTCTAAAACAGGATAGGTGTTATTTCTCCATTTTTATAGATGAAAAAGACACAAGGTCAGAGAGAACAGCAATTCGCCCAGAGTCACGTAGCAAATACGAGGCAGAGACAGCGTTTGAACTCAAAGTGGTCTGAAAAAAAATCCACAGCCCTTTCTCTACACCAGGATCCCAAATGGAACATCACAGGGGCCTGGGGAGCTTTGAGGGGTTCAGATCTGGAGGTGGGGCCTGGCCCTTTTCTTTAGAGTTTCCCAGATGATTGTGCTGTGTGGCTGGGTTTGAGAAGCACAGAATTCCACCCCTGGGATTGGAGGCCTAGTGAGAAGAAAGCCAAAGAGCATCTCTGGACCCAGGGAAGGCTGCCCCCCCCCCCCGCCATTCTGAGAATGTGGCTGTGGTGCTTCCTCCTGGCAGCCCAGAATCGGTCCCACTGGGGCTGGCCTCCTTCCCTCGATGGCCAGGTAGCAGGGGTAGACGTTTGGAGCAGTGGCCCTTCTCTGGGCTGTGCCCTCTTTAATGCTGCTTACTCGGTCCTGTCACCTCTGGAGAAGTCCTCAGCCGACCCCACCACCTTCCCCAGGTGCCTCACCCAGCCATAACCAAGCTCTGGCTTCTCCCTGGACATCCACCCCTCAAACCTCAGGGCTGAGTGGCCTGGGAAGGAGATGGGCAGTGGCTGGAAGGGAGGGTCCTGGATAACAGATCGGTGGTGGCTGCTACAGCTGTGTTGAAGTCTGCACTCAAATCTCAGTTCACTGGGAGACCTCTGTGAACAGTAACCAGTGTCTGTGTGACCTTGGCTAGAGTTGTGATGGCACACGGGCCACACGCTTGCCATCCCTGGTCCAGGAGAAAGAATGGTCTGTGGCATCTTCCTTCAAGAGCCTTTTCCTCAAAGCCGATCTCCGCCCCCTCCAGCTGGCACCATTCTGGGAATCTGGAGGGCGCTTTGCCATCTCCCTTTTTTTAGCCCAGTGAGACACAAAGCTGAGCTGCGATCCTCCCCAGCTCCTGGAGTCTTCCAGCCCACCTTACTTCTTGATAGGAAGCATTGGCCTCTCCCAGGGGGAGAGGGAGCTGGAGGAGGTGTAGGCCCCCCAGGCATCTGCTTCTCTGCTCTGCCCCAGGAGGGCAGGACCTTCACCCTCAGGTTGCCTGGGTCTAAGGTTGGTCAGGCTCCTCCTGTTCCAGGCCCGGCTGGGGAGGAAGGACTCAGGGAGCCTCTGGCTTGGTCCCAGCAGTCCGATCCGGGCAGGTTGTAATTGGTGGATTAGCTGGTTTTATATCCCAGGGGCATCAGAAATTACCTGGCACCTCCATATTCAGACACAAGGTGCTTTTGCAGTTGGAGCCCCTGGGAGCCTGAACCTGCTCTGCTGTCCTGTCCCCTGCCCTTCAGGCTCAGTCATAAGCTCCCAGAGAGCAGGGGACACACCTGTGGAACGAGTTGGAGACAATGGGTCTCATTTAGACCCCACGCCGCAGGGAGGCCCCGTGAGCATGGTTATGCCGGCAAGGCTGGCGCAGGGAGCCACCACCGGCAGCCTTCGCAGAAGCAGCCCCTGTTTGGGTTGGTTTGGCAGTGAATGGGGAGGGACGCGGTGAGGGATGCCTCTCATTCAGAGGCAAGAGCACTGTTTGTGGCGCCAGGGTGTCTGGGAGCCAAAGGAGCCTCTGTGGGGGCCCAGGGAGGCCGTGCCTGCTTGAGTCCTTGGATTCCAGCCAGTTGGGGAAAGAGAAAGGGGCCTCAGTGGCTGAGCCATGTGCGTGTCACTGTTTGCTCCACACCAGGCCCTGTGCCAGAGTGCGGCACTGGCCAGGTTGGGAACCGAGGCTAGGATTCTCCTGGTCTCTGTCCACTGCCACCCGGACCAGAGGCTCTGGTTGCAGATCAGGGAGGGGATGGGTGGTTCCTGTCAGTCTCTGTCCTACACTCCAAAAAAGTCAAGTCCCAGCACTCAGGAGGCTGAGGCAGGAGGATTGCTGTGAGTTTGAGGCCAGCCTGAGCTACAGAACCGAGACCCTGTCTCAAAAAAAAAAAAAAATCCCAGTATGGGGAGCTGCTCAGAATTTTCAGCTGGCACAAGAACATGAGAGTGGATGTCCTCCCAGTGCAAGGCCTGATAACCCCTGCTCAGAGGTGGCTGAGCCCTGGGCAGCTGGGGCTGCGAGAGCGAGATAGGCCAGCAGTCTTCATCCTCAGGGGCCTCCCCCGCGACCCCCAAACAGGTCAGTGAGGAGTTAGCCAGCCTTGACCCCAGGGCTGAACTGGCCCCTAAAAGAAATGGACCCAGGTCCCTTCTGCACCCACAAAGGCAGAATAGTTTTGGGCCCCTGGAACTGACCCCGGAGATGGCCCGCAGTGTTGCTGAAGCGACACAAGGGGGCGACAGCTGCCATCTGGAAGGACCGCTGGTCACTTGGAGCATCAGGGATAGGTGGCCTCCAGATGCTTCTCCTGCTGCTGAGCTACTTGATATCTGGCCGCAGGGGTGGAGCCAGTCGAATGGCAGCCAGGTGTGTGCCACACCTTCCTGTCCCTGAAGACCGAGGCCCTGGGAGGCGGCCCTGACTCCACTGAAGTCCCACAGCTAGCGAGGGGTCGTCTGGTCACCAAGCTCCCCAGGTCGCATCAGAGGACCCCAAGCTCTACCTGCTTTCAGAGAAATTCTCACCTGGCACCTTCCAATCTGCTTCTGCCTGAGGAAGCCCCCCTGGCCCACCCTTGCCCCTGCCTCTGCTCCACATGCTGTCCCTGACGCCCTGAGAGCATCCACTGCACATGGGGCTTCCTATGCCCTCTGGCTTGGAGCAGGGCCTGTGGGAGAAGTCCAGGCTGCCACCATTCCCCTGTCCTTTCTGCCCCTGCCTGGATGGCCCTCGAGCGACAGAGTTGAGTGGTGAGCACTGGCCCGAGTAAGACCAAGGGCCCTGGCCCAGGGCAAGGTGGGCAGACGGGCACTGAGAAGAGACCCCCCCACTGTCCCCTGCACTGCTTGCTCATCTTTTTCCAGCTTTGAACAGGTACCAGCAGCCAGTAGACCCTCCATGCCATAGAAGTTTCACATCAGCATCATGGTTGATTTGACCTCTGTTGTATTTTATTTTTTGTTTTTTTGAGACAAAGTCCCACTGTATTGCCCAAGCTGGTCTTGAACTCGTGGTGATCCTCCTGCCTCAGCCTCCCAAGTGTTGGGATTACAGGCATGCGCCACCACACCCCACTGTTGATGCCCATTTTACAGATGAAACCAAGGCTCAGAGAGGTCAGGGCCCTGCCCCAGGATCATG